ACAAAAACACGGTTTTACTATAGAATAGGCCCTGACTACTGGTTATAGAATTTGGGTATATACATACTCATCTTCCAGGATACTTGTAGTAAAAAACACCCTTTTCACTATAGAATCCAAGGGGGTATAACCCCCTGATTCTGGATCTCACTTCATTCAATAGATTACTGTACCCGAGTTCCTTGAATCATGTCTATCATTGTCTATCCATGTCTAAAGTGCAAATACCAAGTTTGCTGAACCAAACGGAAGAAGTACCATTCCCTACCATTCCCACAGTAAAGACATGTAAAGACCAACGGCATTGACTCACATCTAGCCATTCCATTGCAAAAGGCGTCTGGGGCATGTTGAAAAAACATAATTATTGTCATAGCCCCAGCCTGGAAACGTTCTCTTGTGAATGAGCTCTTGCCATGTCAGAGCTCCAAGCTGGACCAACAAGTGCTGCACGCATTTGTTTTTCCTTTGGGCACCACTGCTGTGATGCCTTGTACCGTTGCCATCTAGCCCTCATCTCTTCTGGCTTCACATAATGGTCCAGAAGGATCTTGTCGGAACACTCTTCTGCTAAGCGAATGTCCATGTAGATGCTTGTATAATTGATGGGAAACAACCAGAAACCCACGGAGACATCTTCTGATGGCAGGGTCCTTACTTTAGCATAGGCCCATTTTCGACAACATGGCAATGTCTCCGAAAGCTCTGCTATGTATCTGGCCAAATCAGGGCTCAGCACATAGCCGGGACCCTTGGCATGTCTTGGGTAAACCGACATGCCCGTTCTATTGGTATAGATTTGATCCTCCCACTTATGGCCCTTCTTAGTGATGGGCTTGGCGCCGGTTCCACTGAAATCGCCTGCGTAGATGGAAGTGCCCGAGTCGCTCTGCACATCCCAAAACATATGGTTCGCTTCGAAGAATGGCAGCAACCGATCCAAAAAGAAGAAGGAGTCGGTGTCGGACTTCATCAGCAAGGCGAATTGATAGCGCTCCACCACTAAGCGGATGCTCAACTGAGTCTTTCGGGCACGATCCGAGTAATACTTTTGAGCATAGCCTGGCAGGATTTCGACGTCTCCAAACTTCTTCATCTCCGCTTCTGTCTTGCTGAGGTCACCTTCCTCACCCACCACATAGACCACTTTGGTGGTCCTATTGGACTTACAAACCTCGGACGTGCTCTTCATCTGGAATGACACATCTTCCACATCGCCTATCCATCCGTCTTACGGGTCTTAAACACTGCATGGGTCTCAACAACTCTTAGAGATTGAGGTGCAAAAGGGCTTCAATTGGTGTCCAATGATCGAAAAAAGGAACCGCTTCGATTCAGACCCAAGAGGCTTCACACCAACCGCTTCGATTCAGCACCATGCGCCACGACTCACGCTGGGCACTTCTGCGATCGATGTCTGTCTCAGCATGCGAAGGGATCACAATCACTAAGTCGAAGTACCTCAGCGATGGTGAGGGGACCTGAAAAAAAACCGTGAAGACCTGATGGTCAGGACCCAGACGCAAGACACTAGTGAAGACCTGATGGTCAGGACCCAGAAGCACCTGACAAAGCACCGGCCCCTGCTAGTAGAGTAATGAGTCATTATGAGTCTTTTGCGTGGACGATGCTCCGCAGGGACCAAAAGCGTCTTATTATGATTAGGGCTCAAATCACCGTGATTGGATATGATTGGCCTTATTTGGGACATAGTCGTTGTTTGGAATCTGAGTCATAATTCTTCATCATAAAGGCATGGGAAATCATCGACATCTCCTTACACCTTTGATCCCACCAACGTAATATGGACGAGTTGTCGGCAACATGGCCCGGCAGAACGTTTCCCACCAAACAATGTCGAGGCAGGGTGTGCATCCTACGATGATGTTGATTCTGATGATGATTCTGATATGAAACCATGAATTCAATGGATCTACTGATCTACCCAATATGAAACGGACTGCTGCTTCAAAAGGACATCACATCATGCCATCCTGATTTCTTTTGGTGCTCGCAGATCCGGAAGAAGATAGAATCTTGTTAGAGAGACGATTGAATAGATATATAATCATTTTTTAAACACATACAGTAAGCGGATGTAAGCGGTAAGGACTTCCATTCCAAACTAGACACTGTTGCGAAACCTCGCAACTGACCACCAACCGTTCTACACCTATTTCAGCCCATCGAACCTACTCCAACACCGTGAACGCACGGTCCACTGAGCCAATCAGAATGGAAGCTGCGTGAGGTTCTGCGTGTTGTTCCACACCGCAGCCGTCCTCTTCTCACGGATGTCCGGGAGCGAAGAGGGTTCGGTGGGCCGGCGCGAGGGACGCAAGAGGCAGTCCATGAAGGAGGACTCCACCAGAAGTGTCGAAATCCAAAGCACGTTCACGATCGCGGCGAAGAAGACCTTGCTTAATGAAGCCTGGAGGCTTCCCATAACAACGCGTCCGAAGCCATAGTCGGTCATTTTGGTTCGATTGAACATCAATAGGACTTTGGACTGTCCTGCCTCCATCTGCCTGGGAAAAGGGACCCCTCAAGAAGACGATTTTCCTCTACAAACAAGGGGGTGCCACCTACTTTCATGTTTGTGCGAGGGAGGATCACTACCAACTGAGCTGTGTCGAAAAACCAATTCAATAGGTCCTATTGGAACTGCCTGACAAACACTCTTCATTGAGGTTTGCATGACAAACACTCTTCATTGAGGTTTGAATTCCGTGTCTCAACTCTTTCTGAATGTACGTTTTGAAAACGACTTCCCGAAGACAGTCTCCCCGAAAAAAGGAAAACACACATAAAACATCTCGGCTGAAACCATATGACTGGATGAGTGCCAAACCGTTGGAACTGGATCTGGGTGGTTCAGCATGGTTCAGCTCGAGGGGCCCAAAGCTGATTGAGGGGCCCCATCTGAAGACTGGACAGGTTGCCGCAGTGCTACCCGTGGGACCGTCCATGGGAGACATGTGTATATAGTAATATATATTTATATAATATATATATATATATATGATGTAGTTGCCTGAAAACTCCGAAGAACGTTTCATGTCAATTCAACTAAAGACGGGGGCCGGAAGACACTCAGAAAGCACACCCTTGCTGCGCTGGAAGATTTCAATGAGCATTTGGATGCGGACGTGGCAGCTTCATTCCGCGATGCGGAAGGCGCTGGGACCGGCGCCTGGACCAACGACCCGGAGGCTCGGGGGTTTGGAACCGGCTCCGACCCGGAGGTGAAGCCATACCGCTGCCGCCGAGAGAAGTTGATGCCATGAAATCCAGGGTCCAGGTTGGGTTGTATCGCAGTCAAACGGGACATGAAATGGAATGACATGAATGCAGCATCAAAGTAGCACTTGAAGGAGCAACAAATCAAACAAGGACATCCAAAGACTTGAATCCCAATGAATGCCCTTCAATCATGTAACACGTGCCATAGTAATATATAGCAATAAACTATACTTGAGGCCAAGGGGGGGGGGCGAAAGCTAGCGCTCCAGAATGGGAAAGTGGAGGGCAGCGAGGTAGGAAAAAACACGGCGCTCTTTTTGGAGGCAGGGGTGAAGAGTCCTTTATATGTGGCTCTTTGCCCGGATCCTCCTGCGAGAGAAGAGAGAGAAGAGAGACGGAAAGACGAGAGACAGAGAGGAGAGAGAGAGAGAGAGAGAGGAGAGAGAGATGAGAGAGATGAGAAAGAGATGAGAGAGATGAGAGAGATGAGAAAGAGATGAGAGAGAGAGAGAGAGACAGTGAGACAGTGAGAGTGAGCGAGTGCGGCCGCAAGATACGCAGATACGCAACGCTAACCGCATGCCAAAGAGCGACGACAGGACGGAGTCGAACTTGCGAAGAGGGAGGAGGGAGGGAGGGAGGGAGGGAAGGTGGGAGGAAGACAAGGAGGAGGAGAGGGGAGGTGGGGTGGGGAGAGGGGAGAGGGGAGAGGGGAGGAGGGGAGAGGGGCGGAGGGGAGGGGAGGGGGGGGTCTTCGACCTGAAAAATCAGGGGTTAGGATTTGCACCCGGTCGAAAGAAACCTTGCTATCGCAAGAGTAACTCCAGCTAGCTTCGCTAGCTTTCGTGAAAACAATAAAATCGTGATATGTATGTATCTCCAGCACATATCCCAGCATCCTCGTATGCCATGAGGTCTCTCTCTCTCTCTCTCTGTGTTTCCAAGGATCTGCAGGACATGTTGGAAACTGTACTGGCCGGGGACATTGGCTCCACACGTCTTTTTGAATGACTTGTTTGGTCCAATCCATTGTGCTACAAGCCAAGGGCAGCAAAGACCGGAATGATCTGCACGTGCGGGTTCTGAAATGGCATCAACAGGACAAACAACATCAAACGGCTAAGGGTATTAGATACCATTCTTCTCCAAGTCCCTTAGCCCAGAGCCTTCAAACCAAGAACGGCCTAGTACTATAGTACTCACAACTGGTCACAGCTCCATCCTCGCCTCCCCACCCTCCAGGAACATCCACAGCTGCTTGGCGCCCGGGGCGTTCAGCCGCGTGTTCCGGTCCCATCGGGCCGGTCGGTCACTCGTGGAGTGCTCGACTCGCTGGAGTCGGGAGGGTCGGTGAGTGGTGAGGGTCCGGCCTTGGGGTTGAACGGTGAACCTCCGTTGGCCTTGGAACACCGAACACCAGGGCATTGAGTGAGGCCGATTCTTGAGAGACACCATCGAACTGATGGCTCGGAAGATGTTGACATGCTTGTGCTGTTGGACCACTAAACCTCTGGCGATATTGAGCCAAAAATGCGGCGATGAAACGTCCAAGTCTGCCCAGGTGAAGAGGTACCAAACACTGGCAAAAGCTCAAGGCCACGACTTCATTCTTCAATGCCACGGAATTCAAGCATGAAAAATCAATTCCTTTCCAATTGATTCCAATTGCCACTTCTCTACTCCATTTGTTTGGCTCCAACCGTCCGCATTCCCCGGTCGACTCCTCCGCTTTCCCCGGTCGTTGTTCGGGTCGTCGCCTGGGCGCGCCATCGCCCAGCAGGGCTCTGCACACACGGCTCTTTAAGCCATCGGCGCCCACGGCGAAGTCACAGCGCACCTGGCGAGTCCAAAGGGACTTCAGTGGGAGCGGGGAGGATTTTTAGGGGCCGGGGGGGGGCTCTGTTTTTTTGCTCTTATGCCGTCGGACAGGGTCGTCGGCGACCAATGAGCGTTCCGCGTCACTGGTCAGCTTTCCATCTACACACGGCGGATTCACAACAGCGAATCGAAAGGGATGGACCAAGACAGCGGCGTTGCTTTGGCGCCCTTATCGAAGGCCCGAACAAGTAACTCCAACGTAGCATTATCAAGGAAGGCTTCGGCGCCATGAAAAGCGCCCTTAGGATAGGTTCGACCGTTGCACTTATTGCCTTTGTCAAGTAGGAGCGGTGCAACCACGATCTTCTTGTTCTTACAGTAGGAAGATGCAGCTCGGATAATGGCAGCATATGCCTGCAGAGTGCAAACTGTTCCCACAGGTAACACGAAACGCCACCCTTGAGTGAACGCAAAGGCAGAGAGCTCGAAGACAGAGCATGCAAGGCCTTCACTGGCTCGCCAACGGAGTGTATTCGTAAACTCCAAGAAAACATGGAAGTTGGCCCGTGAAAGCTGAGGTTTGTCACAGAACGAAAGATCAGTGTCATTGTTGACATGCCATGTATATAGATGCAACTGGGCATCCCATGGCCATCGTGGGCACTTTTGACGCGGCGTTAGATGAGCCACTGGAGCACTTGCAGCTGGTGGAGCACTGGCATTGCATTGGTCTGGCTTTTTACATACCTTGTTGAGTTTGGTAAGCCAAAGCTGCCGAGCAAACACATCATTCTCTTTCATGGTGAGGTCATGTTTGTAGGCACGAGCAGTTTCTTCCAGTTGCCGCTTCGCCAGCAAATCGGCCCTCCGATTGAGAATAATGTCCTGTTTGTTGGACCCAGCCGCATGTGCCATAGCGTCTGTGAGCTCGGATACTGGTACATCTTCTAAAAGATGTGCAGGGCACCAAACAACCTGTAACGGTTGCTCACTGAGGTACTGACGTTGCCCCAGCAGTGTACACAAGAATCCCCACCAGTTTGTATGTGTCCATTCAACCCGAACATGGCCAAGGCGTTGCATCTCCTGGAACTGGTTGACAATGGTGAGGGAACCAGTATGGACAACCAATGGCTGATCAGCAATAGCAAAGGCAACCAGCAGGCCCCATAATTCTGCCGTATAGCTTGAGAGTCGCCAGTGGTAAACCCGACCCGCAGCAAGTAGCGATTCATCAGCAGCTACGACTGCAAACGAAGCCATTGTATGCCAGGGGTGGTTGGAGATTTGAACCGAGCCATCTGTCCAAACATGTTGAGCTGCTTGGACCGGAGAAATCCAGCCAGCCACCGCAAGTTCTGAGGTGTTGGACACCTGTAGTCGGTTTCGTGCACTGTCCAGGGGAAGCTCGGCAATACCAAAGGTGCTGAAATTTGGCCCCAGAAAGAAGTTGGTGGACGGCTTGTTAGAACAAGGGGGGGGGCTCTGTTTGAAAAGCTTAGTCTGGGCATGGAAGAGAATGGAAACCAGGCTGGGGAGTGCTTGGGGAGAGTTTGGATGGAAAAAGGCAAGGAGGAATGATGGGGTACGCCACCTACGAAGCGAAACTGAACAACACAAAAAGGCAGTCAATAAATGTCTGAACAACATGTCTACAGTCCACAGGTGGAACCCCAGGGGACCACCTCGAATTCTAGGAGCAGCTCCACACCATCCGAAGATCTGACATCTGGGCAGCAGAAAATCGTGAGGAAAGTACTTTCGATTCACCTGTTAATGTAGGCTCTTGCTTAATAAGCCACCCCATTTGAGTTGAAACACCTCTTCATATGTAGGGTTTATTCATCAAGAGTCTACATTAGGATGGAGGGGCTGGCTCTTTCCACAACACTAATCATGAGAAGAATGAGAAGAACAGGACTGAAACCCTCGGATCATCTGGGATTGGTGCCCTTACCGCTAACCATCAAGGGAGATCGATGGTAACCAGGCAGCCACCGGAAACAAAAGGACCCAACTCCAGGCTCCTATAGGCTCCTGCCCCACAGGGTAAGACTAGTGAAAGCGGTCCCCGGCAATGGGGAAACACGAAGGCCGTCGTGGCCA